CCTTCTCACTGATTTGCCTGCCAGGGAGGGACATCTTCTTTGTAGCTAAATGGAGAACGTAGGCCAACCTCAACACATCAGTTCCACAAATGCTAAATTTCTCCTTCATGCCACTGTGAACTGGATCATTAAGACCTACATGCTGCCAGGTACCACCGACCCCTTAAGGAGTTCACCACATTGGCCATCATCATGAAACAAGACATGTTTGTGGGACCCTGCTTTTTTAAGTCAATGCTACATATGTGGTGCTGACAAGTAATAGAACATGAGAATAGGATCTTTAAAATAAGGTGTGCAAGACACCTGGGTGGCTCAGTTGGCTGAGTGTCTGACTCCTGATTTCAGCTCAGGTCATGATCCCACGGTTCATGGGTTCAAACTCAGCATCAGGCTCTGAGCCGACAGCGTGGAGACTGCTTGGGATTCTCTGTCTCCCTCTCTTTTTGTCTCTCTCCTACTCTCTCTCTCTCTCTCTCTCAAAAATAAATAAACTTAATAAAATAAAAATTAAAATAAAATAAGGTGCTGATTGGGAAATGGTGAAAATAGGAGCAAAACAGGATGAGAGATTGGATTGACCAGAAGTTTCTTCAAAGTGTTGAGTGAATGTGGGCTGCCCACCGAAGAATGGGTCAGAAAACATTCTCAGCTTATTCTTGTTTATAAAAAGCCTGAAGCTCCCTTCTGATTGGTTAGCTTGTAAAAGCTGGGCTGTCCTTCCTGTTTTTACAGCAAGGAGGCTGCAGCCTGTGCTCCTCTGCTGTCCCACCAGGGGGGATGAGGTTGGGGAGGTGATCCTAGCAGACTTGGGGCCATGAGACAAGGCCCCGTTGTCCCTGTGCTCACCAGCGGGGCACGTGGCCTGACTGCAGTGTGCAGGAGGTGTTCATTTAACCCAGTTGTCCTTACCGCCAGCAGATAGATGTGTGAGAAACCGATCTTGGTGCTATGAAGTTTGACTGCAGGTTCAACTGCTCCGTAATCAATAATAAAATGGATTTTGATACGGTTTTACACTGAGTCATTGTCTGCTGAGGAATAGATTTTAAAACCCTTTCCTTTACTAGAACCAGTCCTCAGCCAAACTTCTAACAACAAGTAAAACTGGCCTCTCTATCCAACTAAATTGTATCTCTACTCCCTCTTTTGAAATGGCTGTGATAATATATATCTGGGCCTGGCTCTGTGATACGTGCCATTCTCATACCAAAGGAGCAGGGACATGTGTCAGCTGCGGCTCCATCCGTGGTAACGGACTCCTCAGCAGCCCAGTTTTGATTCTGGTTGGATCTGTTGATAATTTCAGTGCTTTAAGAGTCTTTGATGAGCGTATCTTCTATCAATCTTAAAAATCCCTTCAGTTTGGGTTTTCTTCAGCTCAGAAGGAAGATGTTGTTTAATTTCTTTCCATCTTGTTCAACCCCATCTAACACAAGAAGCTGTCTGAGTGGTTCTACGTTATTAAGTTCTCGCTTAGTTTTCCTCACTTTGCAAGTTCTCTGTCAAGTTCTTTGTCTTGCCTGCAGATGGCATAAAAGGTATCATAGAGTGAGAAAGTGTACCCCAACAGTCATTCATCCAAAGTGACAGGAGGAAGCACACACTCACACACTAGTAGTTCTTTGTAAAGGAATATGTGAGAATCCAAATAGAGGAGCTTCAATAATCCACCCATTTCAGGGCATTGAATAAAGACACTGTTCTTTATTCAATTCGGAAGACCGATGCTTCCCTTCATTTTGCCAAGCTGAACGCTAGATTATTTTAATTGGTTTAGGAATGGATGGCAATGTTCAGTATGATTTTGTTTTGTTTTGTTTTGTTTTATTCATTATTATTATTATTTTGCCAAAAAGCTACCTGAAGTGACCCAGTAATTCACAAGGAAGCTGGAACCACACAGAACTCTTCCCCACCCACCCTCAGGAAGCCCAATGCCATCGTTTTTGAAGCCCTAATCTTCTGCTTCCTTGTAGCCTCTTTTGATGTCCTGACAAGTCCCTACACCCCTGTTTCAGTATCTAGCTCTGAAAGTTTACATTCTTTCTTTTCTCTCATAGAAGCTATTACCGGGGCTTTCATTTACGAAGACATGTTGTATGTGCATGATGTCATCAAGAACTGAATGGAGACACATCTATTTGGTTCTAAAACTCAAAATCCTTGATTGTATTGAAACAGTACTTCCCTTTCTAGGAGGTCTTGGGGCAATTCAAGATTATACTAATATACTAATGACTTGGGCCATTTCTTTCTCTACATGTTTAGTGTCATAATTTCCATCAATATGTAAATTCCTTCCCTGGCCTCCTTTAATCCAGGGTCCTGTAAAATAATCCAAACGTCATCTCACAGTTTTGTAACAAAATTATAACAAGAACCAAAAATCAAGTAAAACAAAAACCTTGCTGGGCCCAAGATGGAAAGGTACCAACGACCATGCATGTCTTCTCCTGGACAATCCAGAAATTTACCGGATCGCAGTCCCCCTAGAGAGGCTTCAAGACGAACTGTCCAGTTGATCAATGGGGCCTGTATCTGATCACTACCAAAAATGAAGCAATAGAAAATTCTAGTTAAACTATTAGATCAATTTTTCCCCTTTGAAGCTTAAAACTTGAAAATGCAAATGCAAGCCTCTCTTTTCCACTTCAGTCCAAATTTGTTTAACTAACCAAGTAATCTGATGTCAGATCGGTAAGAACTTCAAAATATATATCTAGTTTGATCACTTCCAAATAATTTTAGCAATTAGATTTAACTTAATGCAGTATTGCCATATATAGATTCTGCCTTAGCACATATAAAAATGTTTGGCAATTAGCTGTTATGCATTGCATTGTATCCAAAGAGTGTTTCAAAGTTCTGGAAAATATTTTGTGTTCCCTGAAGTAAGGGAAACACCTCCTACCCCATTTATTTTAACCCTAACTTACATGATTCACATTCTCAACCAATGCCTCTTTTTTGTGGGGGTTAAACTTTAGTCTAGCACTTGTTAGAATCCTCATGGATCACAAACCAATGGGATCCATGTGGGACCCTATTAAGTCCATTTATGAGTCATTTAACACTTTGATTAGAAAGAGGAAGTCCTTGTTCTCGGTCTCTTTAGAAGCACAGAATAGATTTCTGAATTAGCAGAGCCTTATTTCCTTTCATTAACACATTAAGCAAAACACACATAACCCACTCTGGATTGGGCTTGGCATCCTAATGGAGCATAATTATGTCTTGGGAAAATTCCAACAAGATGACTATCTAATGTAAAGAAGGAACAATTGTGAGCCTACAGAATGGGCTTTAAGGGCTCTAACTAGCCCCATGTTATTTTGAACTAACCACTGACTTGCTGCATCCAAGTCCTGAGATCCTCGTAGGAGCCCTTCTAGTTTACAGATCACTCTTTTCAAGATTTCATGATAATCCTTGCAATATTAAGTGTATATCATGGAAGATCTTTCTATCATCAACACGTATACAATAACACAAAATGACCTGGTGGACCCAAATCAGATGAAATTATTGACATTCACTAACTGCCTTGTAGATGCAGATAAGACTTTGGCAGGGGCGCCTGGGTGGCTCAGTCGAGTGAGTGTCTGACTTTGGATCAGGTCATGCTCTCATGGCTCCTGGGTTCAAGCCCCGCATCAGGCCCTGAGCCTGCTTTGGATTCTGTATCTCCCTCTCTCTCTCTCTCTCTGTCTCTACCCCTCCCCACTTGGACTCTGTCTCTCTCGCTCTCAAAAATAAACATTAGAAATTTAAAAAAAAAAAAGACTTTGGCCCACCCATTCCACACGAAACAGACTATTTTTGGTCCTGAAGATCCCTCACAAGCATCAGGAGGTTTTAGATTTGTTTCTGGGTGGACCACAGCAAACCTACTCATAGGGAGGCCTGGGATTGACCTAATCTTGGAGAAGAAAGAGGAAAAAGGAGGAGGAATAAGAAACAAATTGCTCCTAGTGCAGCAATTTCAACTTCTACCATTTACACATCACACATACCAGTATTAGTTTGAATAACAAACCTGTAAGGTAGTTTTCATTCTTCTCTACACCAGGAAGTTGGGAATCAATGACTCTCCCAAGGCCATTTATTTATTCAGCAAATACTTACTACATAGCAGGAACAGTTTCAGGTGCCACAAAACAATAGTGGACAAGGAAAAGACTACCTTTGTGGGGATTAAACATTATTTTAATATGTTTCAAAGTTTAATCATGACTCACAATAAAAAATACATATTGAACGATTACACCATACATACATCATAAACACACACACATATACAGTATATTTGAAACAAACCTTTTACATACACACACACACACACACACACACACAACCTTTAGCATGTGCTCTGATATTTCCTATTCTACTTTTTATGCTTTAACTTTTTTAATGTTTATTTATTTTTGAGAGAGAGTGAGAGAGTGTGTGTGTGTCAGAGCATGAATGGAGGAGGAGCAGAGAGAGAGGTAGACACAGAATCTGAAACAGCCTCCAGGCTCTGAGCTGCCAGCCCACAGCCCGATACAGGGCTCGAACCCATGAACGATGAGATCATGACCTGAGTCCAAGTCAGACACTTAACTGACTGAGCCACCCAAGTGCCCCCATTTTTAAGGCTCATTTGAAAATAACCGATCAAATTGATTTCATGATCCACTAATAAGTCACAGTCCACAGTTTAGAAACATGATTCCAGTGGACTTGCATGGAATGGACTAATATTGACATTAATTAATATTTCCTCAAGGCCTGGGGAGTTATCTCCATCTTTTTCAGTGTGTAGTTTAATGACAAGAAGAAGGAAGATGAGAAGTGGGAGGAAACTGCCCATCATCTTTTTGCAGCCTGGAAAGGCGTACTGGAGGCCATCAAACTCTGGCTTGGATTTCCTGTAATGTTCAAACGTCATCCATCTCTTCTTTGTAATGATAGTGTGTTTTATCTTTTTTCTCTAAACTCTCATTCCTCCTGCCTAGGCTAACCACAGAATATCCAGGCCACTATGGGGAAGAAATGGACATGATTTCCTACAATTATGACTACTATATGCGAGGAGCGACCACCACCTTCTCTGCGGTGGAAAGGTGAGCCTCCCCAGGGGTTGGGGGTCCAAGGAGCTGGGGACCAGCTCCCAGAAAAGACCGCGTCAGCAGGAATTTCCATCTGGAATTTCCTCTAGTATATATCCTCCTTGGTCTAGAATTAAGCAAGCGGTTTCCAGGGTTAAGGACAGCCATGGGAATGAGGCTATTCTCATCAACCATTTCATGGAGCAGTTCACCTTCGGAGCTAAAGATGGGCTCCAAGCAGCTCGAGAGCAGGAAAGCCTCATCTTGGTCTCCCATGATGTTCTAAACTCTGCCTTTCACTCGATTTAAAGAGAGCTTTTTCTGACCCAGTATCAGGAGGAAAGGGCAAACTTGGTTGAAGGAGTGAAACTAGACCCCCTTTGATGCCTGTCTCTAGATGACCCCACCTTGTGTTGTGGGGACAGAGAGTACAGAAGGGCAAGGGATAAGCCACACCAAGAAAGGAAAAGGGAGGATTTACATAACTTAATGACAAAACCTATTTCTTCCATCTCCTTTCTTAATCAGCTTCCCAATCCTATCCCAAACTCTTCCAAACAAAATAATGAGAAGAACATGAGAATCTTTTCCTACCAAAATAGAGAGAGGTATTGATCAATTCAGGTACTTTCCATCAGGTGATATTCACTTTACACGGCATATGAATTCCCAAGAAGTGACCCATAAATGTTTTGCAAACAAAACAAACCTACTTTGACTCATTCAATAATGGACTATGATGAATGTGAGTGTAACTTATCTTTCGAGGAAATGTAAGCTTTTAAGTGAAACGACATCTCCCCTAACTGAAGTTAACATATTTAACATGGCCCAGAATCTAAAAAACAAAACACAAAACAAAAGAACAAACATTAAGCAGCTCTAAAAAGGCAGACTACATGGTTCAGGCTCCATGAGCAAAGAACTTTTATGTTTATTCATAAGAAACCCACATAAATCATTTTTATTTTCGATACATTTTTAACTAGCTGAGTTACCTATTTTCTAGAAGCAGAAAATCTAACAACGAATGGGAAAATAATACTTAGAATGAAGCTCTTCCCCAGTGAGAAGAAGCAGCCAAATGACATCATTCGCACTCACACACACACACACACACACACACACACACACACACACACAATTTTTAAGAAAAGTAAAGACCTGAGAATTCAAAAACCAAGGAAACCTGGTGACAGTTAGCAAGTGTGTCATCCCAAAGGACAGACTGGATAGCAGTGCAGAAGGGTGTTCAGTATTCTTCTGATGTCTCCACATACACAGGAATATTAGTTGTGCATCACCTTTTTAAGAAGGCAGGGAGGGCTACAATACAGAAAGAATGCCATCCAAAATTACTACAAAATAAATATATTTTGGTGGTTAAAATACCCAATTCCTATTGGCTTGAAATTTTTCAATTATGCGGATTAACCCAGAATCTTGGAAAACTGAGATACCATGTCATGCATTTGTTTAAAATGAACATAGCCGTGAGATTTTGCTGCCGTCACTAACAACCAGTGGCTTAAAGACCCACAATGTGGGTTCCTTGAGCTCTGCTGAAAGATGCCAAGGCCACTTCCTTGGAGAAATATCATCAGTACAGGACCGACCTACTGGGCAGGGGCTTTCCTTCCATATGCAAATCATAGTGGGTTCTTCCTGGTACGGTTGCTCAGCCTGAGCGCTATTGACATCTGGGGCCAGATGATTCTCCGTTGCAGGCACCTGTCCAGTCATTCCAGATGTTTAGCGGCATCCCTGACCCCCATCACTAGATGGCAGTTGTAACCTCCCCTCCCCCATAGTTGTGACAACTAAAAAACCCCTTGGGGAGCAAAAGTGTCCCTGCCTGAGAGCCACTGTGCTGGAAAGAAATCAGAGATGGAGCCTGAGTGAGTCCCTTGGTTCTCTTTGGAGCAAGTCTAAAATTTGCTCAGTATCAATTAACAGCCTCTTAAAAGAGTAATGTGAATGCCGGGCTTAAGAGCCTACTTATCTGTGCCTGTTGGTATATGGATAAATAAGACTTGCCTAGCGTAATGAAATTCACTTTATAAACATGCATGCCACCAATTTCCTAATCTGCATCTAAAAGAAGCCATGTCCTCCGCTGACAACCGCAGGAATAAATACTAAGAAATAGCTGGGCACCAAGGCCCTCAGGACTTGTCTTGGGAGACTCTCTTGCCAATCATTTCAAGCAAATGACTTGAAGCAACAGACTCCGAATTCCAAAGCCTGAAATAGACTGAGCAGCACGCCCCATAGCTGCTGGCAAGTGGCGTCTCCCAGAACTATCTTCCAGATGGGAGGCTGGATGGAGACCTTCTCAGCATTGGTTGTTGTTGAGGATAAATCAAACTGGAAAGAAGGTTGCTTCTTCAAGCCTAGCAGGTTGAGAAGGGAGAAGGATAAGTCTAAGACTAAATGATCAGCTGTGCTTTAGAAGGATTTTCACGATCACAGGTGGAATGGCTCTTTATTTTTGCCCTTTGTGGGGACTTTGCAAAGGATGTGACAGCCATGTCCCCTGATGGGGTTACGGGCTTATTGATGGTATTGTGGTATAAGAGAAAGAGCCAGAATTGCATTCAACACTCTTGGAATCTGAAATTGTCACCTAATTATCTTAAGGAAAGTCACATATTTCTCCGAGTCTGCTTCTTCACCTAAACCACGAATCACTGTAAAGATTAAATGAGCAAACCTGTGCACCAGTGCAAAGCTGGGTATACTGAAGATGTTCACCAAATAGTGGGTACAATTGTCATATCACTGCTAAACTCTATTATTATTCCAGAAGAGTACCATGCAGAGTAGGCACTCAGTAGATTTTTGTTAAATGGGTGAACAAAGAACATAGGTTTGTCCTTAGCAAAGAACATTCATTAAAATGTACCCACACCACGTTTTCCAAAATCGAACAGTGCTGTGTACTTTCATCCCCATGCCTGGCCTCTAGAACAGATATGCAGTTCAATTTTTGCTGTGCACAAATGGCAGGCATTTTCTTGTTCCCTTTAGGGAAGTTTGGAGTTGTGTCCCCTCACTTCATTTCCCTATAGAGCTGTTTTCTGAACAGAAACACATAGTGTATAGTGAGGAGCCTAGCACACGGTAAGTTCTCAGTAAAAGAATAAATGAGCAAATGGATGGCCCATTTAAGAGGGGAGTCTTTACAGTGAAGTGGAGACAATGGTAAATAAATGCTTTTATTCCAAACCGTTAACCTATTTGTCCTTGAGGTAATCATGGGGCAGAGCAGTGGCCAGCAGACCCCGAGTGACAAATGGGACCCTCACATAGCCAGGAACCCATCAGTCACCTTCAAGGTGCCACCTGACCCAAGTGAGGAGACGTCTGGGACTCCCGGCCTCACAGATGGTTACCTGGGGCTTTCTAGAGACTTCATGGAGAACAACATGAGATTAGGTGCTCCTTCGGTTCCTGAATTCTCCAAAGGTCGTTCACTGCTTCTCCCTCTGCAGTGATTTTCCTCACTGGCTTGGCTTTCTGACTCTCTCCCCATAGGGATCGCCAGTGGAAGTTCATAATGTGCCGAATGACTGACTATGACTGTGAATTTGCAAATGTTTAGAGCCACCACGTACCAAATCTGGGTGAGAGGAACGGGGCCAGGAGACCTGAGGATGTCCACACATGTCAGCATCAGCTGGAGCTCCGAAGCAGTTTCCGCTGCTCTCTTCTTCTCCCTGAGCTGGTTCGTGACCGCAGCGCCAGCTTTCTGGGCCTTTCTGACTAGTATCACACCTGTAATAAAATCCACAATTAAATCGTGTTCTCACTTTCAACACGTCCCATAGCAACCGTTTTCTATGACTGACAATGGCTTTCCTGCACACCACGTATACAGTGTGCATGCTCACAGCCAGAAAAATGCCTGGTTCCCAGGGCACCTGCCACAGCCTCCTTCCTGCTTTTACTACCAGATGAGCTGCGGGCAGGCCTGGGGCTGAGCGCTGTGTGTGAAGGGGTTCAGTGGAGTGGAGAGAACAACAGAGGTTAAAGAGGGTGGCACGGAAGGCTCTTTGCAGCTCAGTCTGTTTGAATGAAACCCAGAGTCCTCACCAAGCTTCGAGGGGATATGCTTCCACTCTCCCCTCCACATAAGCCACGCTTGTCTGGAAGTCCAAGTGCAGAGCCCTGTGCTCCAGGGGGGAGGAGACAGAGAGGTGAGATGGGGAGATAAACGGGGTAGAGCTTAAAGACCTTATATTGGAAGAATCCCCTGAATGGGAGGGAGGTTGTTAGCACATACCACAGCGTACTGACAATGACGCAGAAACCAGAAGACCCCATGCAAATCTGGCTCGAGTCCAACAAGCACAAGGAGGAAGACGGAGACCAGAGAATGGACTCAGGTCAGGAGCTTAGGAGAAAGAGTGGCCTGGTTGCTTTGCGAATAGAAGGGTTTGAGTCCCTGGCACCTGGAGATGTGGCCAGGACGCCTGGAAGGCTGGCATATGCCCGGTAGCCATGGAAGTTACTGGCAAACTCACTTGGGTTGGTCCCAATTTTCCAGCTGGGAAAGGTGGCCCTGAGACTCCACTTCTCTTCTTTGTACAGTTAAGGGGTGTTTTCTGCAGAGGTGACACGGTTTTTCCTCTTCCTCTAACGTCTCTGTCCCCAGCCGTTTGTACTCTCTTCATCATAAAAGAAATAAAAATGTTAACATTCATTGTGCTGCAAACATTAAGGGTCAGTTTTTGCTCTCTGCCCCTCCCCTTTCCAATTATTCGTGTCAGCCATTCAGAAAATGTCACTTAGCTTTGGGATTTGTGCCAAGCATCAAGCACCATGCAAGGCACCGGGACTACAATGATGGCAAGGACAGAGTATGGCTGGCGAGTCTGATAATTAAAACATAAAGCACTAAGGCCTGGGCCAAGGGTAGAACCACGTTTTTGCCTTTAAAAATTTTTTTTAATGTTTTTTATTTATTTCTAGGAGAGAGAGAGAGAGAGAGAGACAGCGTGAGCAGGGGAGGGTCAGAGAGAGAGGGAGTCACAGACTGAAACAGGCCCCAGGCTCTGAGCTGGCAGTCAGCACAGAGCCCGACGCCGGGCTCGAACCCACGAACCGCGAGACCATGACCTAAGCGAAAGTCGGACGCTTAACGGACTAAGCCACCCAGGCGCCCCCGTTTTTGCCTTTGAACCTAACCTGATTTGCCACAGCACCCTTCAGCCCCGCCCTCCCACCAGCATGCCCTATTGCGCTTTTAACACTGGCAGCTCCTATCTTTTTATCCAACAGTTTACCTTTTGTTTTCAAATCTGTGCCACCCTCTCCTCCTCCTCTGCCCCGGTGAACCCAGGATAGCAAGCAGCCAGGCAAAACCACGGGCGTTATCCGCCCTTCATGCACCCCATCCAGGTGGCCAAGATGGTGAATTCCAGCCTGTATACCTGCCATTTCCCATGGTTGCACCTGGCACTGTGAAGGGGGAGCCCAGCTAAGATGTCCTGCTTTGCCTCCGTTGCCTTACAAGTCCATTTTTAGTATTCTGGCTTGGCTTAACTTCCTCCATTTCATTGTTTCCACTTCTCTGGCAATTTTAATTTACAGCAAGCTTTGCTGTGTTATTTTTCACAAAGAGAGCCATTAATATTTTAGCAATTGCAGCACTGGTTCAGGATGGCAGCCAGGAAATGGCCTTAGTTGGGTGTGTGGAGCCCAGCTGGAAGACAGCCATGAGGAAAACAAAGCGCCGGTGAGAGGGTGGGGGGTACAGGGGCTGGGGGGCTGGAGGGGCGACTGTGGCTCGGAGGGTCCAGGGGACTGCAAGGGAGCAAAGTCGATTTTGAAAAAAACAAAATTCGATAAAGCAATCCCATAAGGGCCTGCACCAAGTAGAATAAAAGGTTTTCACTAAGAATAAAACTATTCTTTGCATATGGGCCAAAGACAATGATAGTAAAGACATTACCAACTTGGTTCAAATCTGAATAATTTATACTTTATAACATATGTCAATCAGTAAGAACACAGGCTAACTCTGTGCTCTTGTTACTCCAACCTTTCTACTAACATGCTCCACAGCCTTGGCTAAGCCACCTCCCCATTCTATGAAGACATTTATTTCAGGTAACCATTGTGGTTTCTTGCAATTTTAGAATTCTGTGATCTCCATCACTGGCCCCAAATTGCTTATAAGGAGCCTTGCTAAGGCAGTTTCTTCCAGATTGGAAGCCCAGAATGAGAGCTGAAAAGCTAAGCATGATCCCTGGCTCTGACAGAGGGTGGCCTTGTTATATTAGACAAATCCCCAGATCACCATTTCCTCAGCTGCCTGGTATGGACAGAAACCCCTCTCCCGACAACTTCATAAGATGGTGGCCATACAAAACGGGAAGAAGGGAGAGTATTCCTGCCTCTCAGTGTCGATAGTCCGGATAAGGATTGATGAGAAAATGGACAATGAAGACACAAGCGTAGGAAAGTTTTCTAGGGAAGCCAAGCCTCTGCCTGGCCCCAAGGGACAATGAGAACTCCTGAGGTGAGTAGAAAACATGGGGGATCTTTTTTTTTTTTTAATGTTTTATTTATTTCTAGGAGAGAGAGAGAGAGACAGCATGAGCAGGGGAGGGTCAGAGAGAGAGGGAGTCACAGACCGAAACAGGCTCCAGGCTCTGAGCTGGCAGTCAGCTCAGAGCCCTATGCGGGGCTCGAACCCACGAACCGCGAGATCACGACCTAAGCAAAAGTCAGACGCTTAACCGACTAAGCCACCCAGGCGCGCCGAAAACATGGGGGATCTTGTTCAGACTATCCAGGCACAAATCCTGGCTCTGCCACTTACTAACTTCATGACCTTGGCCCGGTCACTGGCCTTTCCCAATTTATTTTCTTAGCAGTAGAGATAATTATTGTACCTGCATCACATTGTAAGGATTACATGAGATCTCATAGTGTCTTGCGCAAAATAAGTACCCAATAAATAGAGGAAGAGGAATGGAAAGATGAGTAGCATATATTAGAAGTAACTGGGTTTTCCTCTCTGTAGCTGGTCCTCCATCCACCCCCCAGCCTGCTAGGCTCTCTCCTTGCCCTCCCAATCTTTCTCCCTATTAACAAGGAAAATGTTGCTTCATGCAGCCATGCCCAAACAGGTAGGCCAACACAACCAAGGTCATATAGTCTATAGCATCCACTCTCTTTAAAACACATCAGTCAATTTCGATTAAACCACTTCTGTTTCGTTCTGTTAAATCAAAACGGTCTGTTAAGAAGTGGTAGCTGAAGCCGGTTAACATTCTGGGATCCAGAATCAGTAAGGTAAGTGAAACCCTTGCAAAATTGTGCGCAAGCCTACATGGCTGTTTACCTTCTACATATTGAATTTCCTACTCACTGAATTTCCTTTATCAATGTATTCTTTTGTAAAGCCAGGATAAGAAATACGTCTACTTCAAAAGTCATTTTAATGACGACTAATAATATATTCACACTCAACTCAGATTTTCATGGAACCTAAAACTTTGCTACAGAATGGGATGTCCACTATCTCCTAAAAACTAAAAACCGATCAAAATTCCCCAGTACTTTAAACCTACTTCTTAGATTCCACTGTGCCTTGCTAAATGCTAGAAAGCTACCATTGTGTGACCTCCTTCTCCCCTCCTTGACGCATCCAGAAGGAGCCCACTTATCAGTGTGAATGACGGCATGTCTGTATCCGTGAAAAACGCTGACTGGAAGTATTTGAAAATGCAAAATATTATATCATCTGCAGTGTGACATCAGTCTTTATTTCTTTGTTCTTCTTTCCTTTTCTGACTTTCTCAATTTTAAAAAAATGATTACCATTGTCTGTGTTTATAATCTTTAAAAAGTAATTTTAATCTTATGGAACAAAAACAGTCACCAGCTGCCAAGCAGTTCAGTCCTAGGACCACGTTCCAGTCTAAAGGTGAGCATATGGTGACTTCGTAGACAGAGATTATAAAACAAACCCTTTCATCTGACCAGCTGACTGGTGGCTTATAATTTAATATGCAGAAATACCTGCTCTTTCCCATGCTGCTCGCCATCCCCAGAGACAGTGGAACAGATGTTCACTCTGTCAGATGGCCAGTGGGAAACTCACATTTAAAACTCCTTCACTCACCAAAGTCCTCCATGTCCTTCAGAGCCAAGCAGACACTCAGCTTCCTGAGAAAATGTCCTGCACCTTCTAAGACACACTCAGGGTACCTCCCTTGCTCCCTCAGTACTGTATTCCTTTTTTCTCCCTCGAGGGCAGAGGTCCTGTCTCTCTTGTTCACAGGTAGTTTTCTAATGCCTAGCAAGGCATCAGACATAGAAGGTATTACACATAGTAGGCATCCAGGACATATATTTTAAAATTCGTCTGGATTTCTGGTTCATTTTCAGTTTTTATTAAGAAGAACTAACAAAGTTCTAAACAATCAGGACTTGAAAATATGTGTAAAAGCACTGAAAATTATGAAGCCCTATTAAGAGCTACAGAATTATGACAATACTGTGGTTTTGATGAGGGATAATGCCATCTCTTGCTCTCTTTCTCGCATCATTTGGTGACCATTAATTTTATCCTTTAAAGAGCTACTTACTAATGGTGAGTGTGTTGGAAATCACACCAATCAGTCACAAATGTCACTTACATGTTCAGAAGGTGTATGTCGGTCACTACACTAGGTACCTCAGTGCCAATTTTGTTGTTGCTGTGACCTCTGAACTGTAGTGAAATCGACATCTGAGCAGTCAGCACAGGACTCTGCCTTTGCTGAGTGTGACAGAGCCTTGCTAACGAACCCCTGAGAAGACTGTGGGACTAAGGAACAAAGGGGTTCAAGCTGGTAAAATGGGTGAAACTCTGTATGAATCTAGATGCATATGAGTCCAAGGGAGGTAAAGCAGTGATTTTTGTTCGACTGTACCCCCTACACAACAAATATTTAATGAATAAATAAAAGTAGAGCCTGAAGACAAACCTTAACCTGGATTATGACTTCATCAATGTAGACTTTATGACCCTTGCTTTTTGTTCTTACTCCTACTAAGAGTTTACTTCTGGAACTAGCTACTGGTTAGCTGGACCCAAGCAGTAAAACTGGTTTCTCAGAGTTAGGTGGTTTCCTATTTATGTGGTTGCCTGGCAGGCATTTGTAGACCATTCCAGGGTCTGCATCTTACCCCTCTGTGACTGGTGGATTTCCACTGATCTCAGTGTCTCCGTGGGTCTCTTTTATTGGCAGACTCAAAGGTGAGCTCATTAGCCATACCCCCAGGAAAGATGTTCTTGGAAATCAAACTCACTCGGAGTCACATCTGCCTGTCCCCTATAGGGATGATGCAGAGTGTCAAGCAGATTGGTTCTGCCTACCGGCTTCCAGGAGAAAGGAATTGCAAGTCTCTCATGGCATAAAACATCACAGCCCCAGTTGGAGAAGGGCTTCACTCCACAGAAAACTCAGAGTAAGGCAGGCTTTTATTTTACTACATGCGTAGGTAAGCCTTGATAAAATTTGCAGGTTTCTGTAAAGGGGTAAGAAAAATGGAAAGAGGTGAACAAGTGGATTATTTGGGGCAGAGGGACCAGACTTGGCTCTTCCGAGAATGACACCATTTCTTGTTCTCAAATCAAAACCTTGCACATCTCTGCTTTTCTACACATAATGTTGACTGTTACTTCAACAAGGTGTCATTAACCAC